CCAGAGCTGCCAGGGTGCTCTTAACCTACCCTAAACTCCCCACCTGTAGTTTCCTTTAACTAGGTCCCACACAAATACACTTTCTGACCGTTGCTATGTGGGGTTACTAAACGGGGTACAAGAACGTTATTACTAGGTGTTCTGCATTGCTTCAGATTGTTTTCAGTATAGTTTTGTCAATCAGCACTAGGCGTTATGTACGTCTTCAAGTTGTTTTCACTAGTTTCCTGATGCCCTTTTACTTGCTGGTTCGTTTACTTGTTGAAACTAGGTAAAGGATAGCAGGCAGCTTCATTATCAAACTGACACTGAAAGCCAAGGCACACTCGGCGTATGATGTGCTGCTCTTTACCGTCTTCTTTCCAGAAATGCGCATTCTTGCAGGAACTCTCTTCTCGATTCCAGCGTTCTCGCTGGCAGTTTTAGTGTGGCGGACTATACCAGCGATAGCCTTGCACCTTTCCAGTGAACAGGTGCTGCCACCCAGGCCACATGCATCTTAGGTTTTGATTTGCTGTCGGAGCTCTAGCTTTTGAAGAAAGCTTCCCATCTACACCCATAAGGACCAAACGACCAAGCGACCCTCACAAACTATAGGCCTGCATGTTATGATTTATAATGATGAATCCCAGATGGGGACTTGAACCATAAGTTCTGTTAGGGTCAGTGTGGTCCTCACGGTCCATCCATGATGGCAAGGTTGTTCCAGATTTGTGCCGCTGTTGTTGACTGCTGAAACTATAAGACATCATTGCTCTCAACACCTTTGAACTCCCATCCAAGCCTCAAGCCCCAAAAAATCCCACCCACCCCTTGTAACATGTATCAGCCCTATATATGTATATATAAGCCTCTACTAGTCATGGGTAAGGAAACTTTGTCATGGGCGCATCTTCTAGGCACACGGCATCTGGAGCAACCTCCTCTCCCCAGGGCTTGCGCCAGAATCGGCGCATTTGGGCAGTCTCTCACAGAGGCAGAAGTTTAACCGTCAAAAGGCACCACCCCCCCTCCCCCCCCGTTGCCAGCTCTGCTTCCGGGGGGGCTGTATTGCAAAGACGACAACTGAAACGTTGTTTCTACACCACATGCCCTGACATCTTCTGCATCAACATGTCCAGAGTCTAGACCCCCTTACTAAAGCCCAATAATCTTATTGGCTGTAAACTCAACTTTTCAACTTTTGGGGTTCTTGTAAGGTAGTCGATTCTGAAAGTTTCAGCTTTTATTTCCTTGGGTTTTGGGCCAGTGATTAATAATCCCAACAGAACCCTGAATCCTCAACTTGACCAGATGGCCTAAAGTCTTAACGGCTCTAATCTGCTTTAGCTAAGGTTTAGGGTTTAGGGTCTGGATAGTTCGTATCCCTTCAGCTTCTTTATGTCGGTATAAGCCTTATTTCAAACGCCAAGGGGCCCTCTTTAACTTATAGAAACCCTGGTAGAGCCCTTAATACGAGAAACGAACAGCACCTCATGAGCCCCCTTAGATCCCTACAACCCAAGAATCAGTCGTTCGGGCTATTGGCTTCGTTCCTGCGAAGTTGGAGTCAAAAATTGGGAGGGCGCTTCAGACCACCCCAGGGACGAAACTTTTTTTTGGGGCTTGGGGTTTGGGCTTGATAGCCAGACATAGCTAGCAATACGTGTGCATGCGTCCATATACGACAAGCATCTATGCATGTTATATAACATATGTATATATATATATATATATGCACACATATGTGCAATGCGTATCCTTCTTATTACAAGAGAAGTGAGAATATAACATAGTTCCAGATGTGCATATGTATATATATATATATACAGATGTACATATATATGCACACATAAATGCATGCGGCCGAAAGCCTCTACATAAATCTTGTTGTTTGGCATACTACTACAATTCACCACCGAATCCACCCGCATAGGGAACCCAATCCACTCACCCCTATCCAGAGACTCCCTAAACCCTAGACCCTTTAAGCCCTAAACCCTGAACCCTAAACCCTAAACCCGATAAACTCTTTAAGCCCAAAACCCTAAACCCTATAAGCCCCAAACCCTTCCCGACTCCCCCCCCTCTTGGAATCTCGAAGTTCAGCAATGAAAACGCCTTGGACACTTTGTTTGCAAGGTAGCACGATATGAGGGTAGTTCTCTAAATTAGGGTCCCTTTATAGTCCTTTTTATAAGGATAAGGGTGCCGTACTAGATTTGGGACTTGCAAAGGGGCCCTAATTTAGAGAACGACCCACAAAAACCTGCATTACGTAGAACAAAGAATATGCCATGATTCCCATAGTTTAGGGCCCTTAAGGTAATGCAGGGTTTAGGGTTCAGGGTTTAGGGTTTAGGTTTTTTTCATCAACAGTATGTCCCGGGAACCCCCCAAAGCAATCAACCCCAAAGCCTAACCCTCGCAGCTCAGCAGGAAGACTCCACCCCCCCAAAGCCCCACGGTTTAGGGTTTAGGGGTTTAGGGTCTAGGGTTTAGGAACCCCAAACTTTTGGGGACAATAGGAGGGACCCCTAGAAGGGACCCTTAATCCTAACACCCTATATAACCCTTACATACCACTTATATAGTCTCATAAAGCCCCTATTTAACCCCAAGGGTCCCTTTAAGGGTCCCTCCTTTACCCTCAACCCTAAACCCTAAACCCTAAACCCTAAAACTGAATAACCCTCACACCTCAAAACCCAGATCCTACACCCCAAAGTCCCAAGCCCTGCACAGCTGAACCCAATATTTAGGGTTTAGGGGCTTTGGGGTTTAGGGGTTTAGGGTTTAGGCGGACTTAGGCGTTTAGGGGTTTAGGGTTTAGGGGTTTGCGGTTTAGAGGCTTCGGGGTCTAAGGGTTCCTACAGACCCGAAGCCCTATTGCCCCGCAAAGCCGTGAAGCCCAAGCCATAGCTGAGTTCTCCAATTTAGACTTGTCTCAAACTCCGACGCCTCGAAGGTCCTATATGGGCCCTGACGGTTTAGGGTTTAGGCTTTAGGGTTTAGGTAGGGTTTGGGGTTTTGGGTTTAGGGTTTCTGGCCCTATGGCCCTAAAGCCCCAAAGCCTAGAAACCAAAATCCCTGCAGCGAACTTGAAGCCGTATTTCCCCAAGCCATAACACTTTCAAGCTCTGAACCCTAAAGCGCGTACAACATGCCTCGACCGTCCAAACGTTTCAAACCTCTACAGTTTAGACGCGTGAGGTTGAAGGGTTATGGATTAGGGGTTTGGGCCCCTACACCCTAAACCCAAAACCCTGAACCCAAACTCCTGAAAATCTAAAATGTCTCCAAGGTTGGTCTCGGCCATTCGGGTCTTAACCGTGATCCTCTGAAAGGCGTTCCTTCGGTGTTTCGTGTTTTAGGGTTTAGGGTTTAGGGTTTAGGGAGTAGGGTTTGGAAGGGGAAGTCGGAGGTAGGTGAGGAGCTTTACGTTTAGAGTTGTGCAACTTTGTCGAGTCAAGTTTGTCAACACCCTGTGCGGCCCTCATGAATATTCGTAATGGAACGTTTCGGAAACCCTGCGAAAGCTTCATACATCCGCAAGACACACTCAGATGACACTAACAAAGACACCTTGTAACACCCTACTATAGGCGCCTAGATTTGTAAGTACCAATACTATCTTGGTGGTTCTTTATCCCTAAACCCTAAACCCTAAACCCTAAACCCTAAACCCTAAACCCTAAACCCTAAACCCTAAAGTCATAATTATAGTTTGAACGGCCCCTACACTATATCAGCCTAAAGCCTGGATTCTCTCTGACCCTGAGTCGCTGGCTTGAAAGGCTTCTCCCCTTTACAGCTAGGATCCAGAACATGGGACAAGGTTTAGGGTTTAGGGTTTAGGGTTTAGGGTTTAGGGTTTAGGGTTTAGGGTTTAGGGTTCATGGTTCAGGGTATACTTTAGGGTTTAGGGTATACTTGTTATTACACGGGCGATAAGGCATGAATTGAGAGTGGTTCCAACCCCCTGTAGAGTGTACCTTGGCGGGGTGGCATGCGTGTGCGTGTGCGGCAACGGCCTTTCCGGTCGCCCAAGGAGACAAAGTTCGCAGAGCGGATGACTGGTTGCGAAGCGGGCACAATGCTACGATATGGGCACCATAAACCCTAAACCTTAAACCCTCAACCGCATCGTGCATCCGCAGGGTCGCCAGATCCGCAGAACCAGCTCTGTCCGCGGTGGATCAGGAAGGTTCCCAGTTCGCTCACCCGAGGAGTGTGCCACAGTGTTGCCCGAGCAGAGCGACACCCGAGTCTGGACCCATCAGGTTTTATCTTCTGGTGCGTCTGGTTCAGTGAAGGCTTAAAATGCCTTGAGCATAGTAGGAGGCTTGATGATTGTGGGGTTTCCTTAGTATAGTTCGAGTATCATATACCGCTCTGATATGGCCAAGGGCTCATACAGATCGATAGTCTAGGACTTTGCAAGCGTTCTATGCCGTTTCTTCTCGCGTTTCCGGATATAGAAGCCTTAGTAATTACCCACATTACTGTTAATGTTCCTTGCTTACTGTAAAGGAGTCCAAGAACGTACTCTAATTATTAGGCTTATTGCCTGTAAACTCAACTTTTCAATTTTTGGGGTTCTTATAAGGTAGTCGATTNNAACTTTTATTTCCTTGGGTTTTGGGCCAGTGAGAGCCTAGATTAGATGTTTCGGTTTCGTTGTTGGTGTCAGCTTTTGGGTTCCATGTGTTTGCTTTTTCCTGTTTAGGGTTTAGGGTTTTAGGGCTTTAGGGTTTTAGGGTTTAGGGTTTAGGGTTTTAGGGTTAAGGGTTTTAGGGTTTTAGGGTTTAGGGTGCCGTCGAGGTTGCTCCGGAATGGCGCCTAGATAGATGGAAGAAGCCAAACCGAGGACGTGGGTCTTGAAGCATGTTGCAATGAATGAGATCGCTTTAATTATGGTTTAGGGTTTAGGGTTTAGGGTTTAGGGTTTAGGGTTTAGGCTTTAATTTAGGGGCCTAAGTAATTACCTCTACTATTTTGGGGGGTTCCTTATTATGATTCTACTATAAAAGAGCCCAAAACCCTAGTCTCACTGTCAAGGCCTCTCTACGTTATGGGGTTTGTGCACGTAGACCACTGCTGTGCATGGAGGGTCCTATCACTGTAGACCCCAAACCCGAAGCTCTGATACCCTCAGCCAGGAGCCCGGCTGTACCAGAGTCCAGAAGGATGAACACCGAAAGGTGACCCCTTTGAGTGAAGAGACTGATATATGTATGTATGCATGTATGTATGCATTTATGCATTTCTTTATGTATGTATGTACGTATGTATGTATGTATGTATGTATGTATGTATGTATGTACGTATGTATGTATGTTCTTTGCTTGAATGCCTGAAGCCATCAAGCTTGCGATGCTGGGAGGTTTCTGTCGGCTGATGGAGTCCGGGCGGGAGAACCTGGAGTGGTCTCTGCTGCCTGGCAGCATCGCCATCATTCAGGGCCTCAGCTTTAGAGTCAGAGCTGCAGGTATATTTAACCCTCCGATATCCAAGCTTTAAACTTTCTGGGCTCCTATAACTTAGTAGTAATCTGAAAGTTTTACCTCTTAGTTCCCTGGCTTTTTGGGGAAGTAAGTATATGGCGTTGGATGTTGCCTTGTTCGGGTTTTAGTTGCAGGTTGTCCCGAAGCTTCTGGAATAGATGCTACAGCACAAGGCTTTTGGGCGATTTTGAGCCGGAGACTTCGCGGTTTAGAAGGGTTTAGGGTTTAGGGTTTAGGGTTTAGGGTTTAGGGGTTTAGGGTTTAGGGTTTAGGGTTTAGGGCGGTGGGTATGGCGGGGATACTTGTCGCGCACATGTTACGTGCTGAAACTACCCTAGACCCTAAACCTTAAACCCTTAATCTAAAGAAGCGAAACGAGCTGACCTGGAGCCCAAACGACTTGATGACTCTTTGGTGTGATTGTTTATGAAGGTTTCAGCTTCGTTGGATCACCGGCACACCTGAAGATCTGGGTCACTTCAGGGTTTTCGGTTTAGGGGTTTGGGGTTTAGGGTTTATGAGGAAAAATGTTGAGACATGAGCGGTAAGGTCAGTATAGCGTAGCCTGAAACCCGAGAAACCTCGAGCCCGATACCTTCAACATTGCCGCTGCCATGGTACCACGTGAATCTAGTTCTCCAATTCCCAACCTTTAAAGTCTTTGGGTTCTGATAATTTAGTAGTACTCTTAAAGTTTAACCTTCTTATTCTCGTGGCTTTTTTGGGGGAAGTAAGCACCCCCAACAAGAGATCCTTTCTCAAGCAGGGGAACCATACCTATAGTGCGAACCCAAAAGTTGAAAGCCAATAGCGTTAATCCTTTAGAGCAATGTTCAGGGAATCCCAGCACTAACTGTCCTCAAACCCTAAACCCTAAACCCTAAACCCTTAATCCGGTTTCCAAATTTTTGGGGTCTATCATACAGGATTCGAAGGCGAGCCCTGGTCAAACCTCCCATGACCCATCTACCACCCGCGCCGAAATAGATTTGTCTTAGAACCCCTAAAGCCTGAAGCCCCAAAAAACGTCCCTAAACCCCCTTACGCCAAGGATGGAGCACTGGTAGCCCTTGTAACATGTTCAAGAACCCCAAACCCCAGACCTCGGGTCCTGAACCCTAAGGTTTAGGGTTTAGGGTTTAGGGGTTTAAACCCAAAACCTTTAAACCCTATAAGCCTTTAACCCCCAAACCCTTTAACCCTACACCTTTAAACCCTAAACCCCAAACCTTGAAACCCAAGACTTCAAACCTTTATGTAAACCCTAAACCCAAACCTTTAAACCCTAAACCCCAGACCTGTAAAGCCTTGAAGTAAGGATGGAGCACGAGAATGCGGCTGCATTCCTTGAGTGGCTTGGGCGATGCCGGCAACCGGGTTCCTTCTTTGGAGCCCTGTGGGGCCATGAGGAGGACTCCACTAACATAGGGTTTAGGGTTTAGGGATNNTATGATTATAGTACAATATACCCCCAAACCCTATTCTAATTATTAAGGCCCCTCCACTACTTCAAGGGTGCACCTAGGTTTAGGGCTCAAGGGATAAGGATTTAGAGTTTAGGGATTTACAGTGCTTACAGGTTTGATTGGGGTTTTCGGCCCCGGTAAACGGCTATACTGGAATCTATTTCAGGTTCCATGTTCATTTCTTTGCACACAGCCGGCCTCGTGGGCTACTACTGTCCTGGTAACCTTCGTCGGAAGTTCGTTCGAACCATTTGCCGAGCGGCTGTTGCTTTGTGGATTCCGATCACAGGATCATCTTCACTTTCACTTAGTTCCCCAATACCCAACCTTTAAACTTTTTGGGTTCTTATACTTTAGTAGTAATCTGAAAGTTTAACCTTTTAGTTCCCTGGCTTATAAGGGAAGTAAGTTCAAAAACAACCAAGACGGCTTTCATTAGATGGTGTCGCTCATGCTGGCCTGCGCAGACAGCTGGCTCAAGGTGAAGCAGAAGACGCCGGGGGCCAGATCCCGGAAATTGACACTTCTGCAATATCAAAGCAAGCACACCCGACGCCCCCACACGCCCTAAACCTTATACCTTTACAGAGCCCTGAATGAACCCCTTTCAGAACCCCCATAGCCTATAGATTCCCTCGCAGAACCAACTCAACAAAAGCCTGCAATGGTGTAGGGATGAGGGTGCGGTCGCTCCTTCTTTCAACTTGTTGCAGTCGTCAGGGTATCCTTAATTCAACCCTAAACCCTAAACCCTAAACCAAACCCCAAATCCTAAACCCCAGCCCTAAACCCTAAACCCTACTAAACCCACAGCTCCTGAGCCTAGGAACAGCGTCACCCCGAAATCAGGAACCCCAAAGACCTCCACCCCTAAACAGTCTAAGCCAAGAGCCCTACGAGCTAACCTTATGGGATCTTCAAGGAAGGGCTTAGGGTTTAGGGTTTAGGGTTAGGAGTTTTTCCCTGTGACAAACCCTGGGAAACAGGGTTTAGGGTTTAGGGTTTAGTCCGAAACCGAGTTTGGAAACCCACGCACCCCTACAAATCCTCGATCCTACATCCCTTATATAAATCCCATATTAGGGTTTATAATCAGAACCTACAAAACTTCAGGTAAGCCTAAACCCTTACAAACCCAACAGGAGCTTCGCCGCCGGGTGGCGGCCACTGGTGGTGCGATCTGGCTACCACCTCAGACTTCCATGAGGGTCCATGCACAGGGTTTAGGGGTTAAGGGTTTAGGGTTTAGGGTTCTGCCTAGAGAGGGTTTAGGGTTCAGGGATTAGGGTCCCAAGCCACTGAATTAAGGTGCACACCCCAAGTCGTATGAAGGATGGCCCTCACAATTCAAGGTACGGTCTTTGGGTATAGGTATAGGGTCTAGCGTAGAGTCTTATGGGGTTTTACAAGGTTTACTAGGGCTTGGTCGCCCCAAGGCTTGCAGAGGGTTTCGTATGGTATAGTATATGTGGTTTTTGATAAGGCCCATATCTATGTAGTATACTTAGGCCTGAAAGGCGCTTTCAGACAGTTTAAGACCGAAGTGTGTACTGCATTGGGTTTAGGGTTTAGGGTTTTCCTCTATACATATATAAGTATAATTATATATATATATATATATGTATATATATATATACATACAGACTGTTAAACCAAAAAGAACTGCAACGGAGAATTATTGGTATACCTTCAATCCGAAATCCTGAGTTGAACCTTCGGGCCTAAAGTAAAGCCGTTAACTCCCCCGCCCCAAAGATCCGGATACCCTGAACACAATAGCAACGAATAGTTGAATGCTGGCAAAATACACATAAGCATCGACACTGGCAGTACTGATAACGGCGAGAGTGATACTGGTAGTATGAATAGTCAGATATATGCTTGTACCAACACCGATATTAGTATGGCAGTGGGAATAACTTTAGTTGATTCATAGTCATAACCATCCTCATAGGCTGTCATCGTCGCCATAGTGAGGACGGTGATCGTAGCAGTAGTAAAAGGAAGAGGAGAAACGGTAGTCTTACTCATAATACGAAGAATCAGCCGCAGCAAACCCTAAACTCTCTGGTGCTTAGTAGGGAATGGCAGAATGGGTTATAGGGACTACTCTAAGGGACCTTACGAGGCTATCATAGGGATCCATTCCCCCCTTCCTTACCAAGCACCAGACAGTAAAACCCTAAACATCTAGTACATTCAAGGCCCTAAGCCCTATGCCCTAAACCCTAAACCCTAAACCCTAAAAACCCTAAACCCTTAACCCTAAACCCTAAACCCTAAAGCCCTAGGCCTCGCCTCTGGGCGCCAGAGCCTTTTGAGTGGCTCCGGCGCTGGGCCATCCCGGCCGGAGCGCCCAACCTACCCCGAGGGGCTCACGGGTGTAGGGGTTTAGGGTTTAGGGTTTTGGGGTTTAGGGTTGTACAAGTGTTATTGAAGGTTTTCTTGCGGGCTTTTGCAGTTGTTGCGCAGGGGGTGTTCTTTGGTTTATGTGGTGCTTACATAGGGCTTTACTTGGAGACGAGACATCTAACTTCAGGGGGGTTGCAGAGGCAACAACAGTCAGCCGAGATAGTTCAAGCCTGTGGTCAATGTTGGGGCCTTAATGATTACCTCTACTATTTTGGGGTTCCTTATTATAATCACGGTAGAATGTAACCGAAAGCCCCAGTCCAATAACCAAGGCCCCTACATTAGGGCTCCGGGATTGGTGTTTGGGCCACGCCTCAAAGCAGCACACGCCATGGGTTGTAACGCCAAATTGTTTTCCTCAAGGCGAGAAGCTGTAAGCCCCCCCCCCCAGCCCCTGCTCTTAAACAAAAACACAAAAATACAAATTACACCAACACAAAGACTAGTCAGTTTGCAAATTCTACCATTCAATAAAGCCTGAACCCTAGACCCGTGGAGAACTCCTGGATCTCAAAGCCTCAAAACCCACCAAGACATCACCCCAAATCCAAGATACCCTAAACCCTAAACCCCTAAACCCTCAATCCTAAACCCTAAATCCTAAACCCTGAACCCTAAACCCCAAACCCTAAACCCTTAAACCCGTAAACCCTAAGCCCCTAAACCTAAGACTCAAACAGAAGCCACACAGATCTACACCCTTATCCCTTAACCCTACGCCCCTAACCTTCAACCCTAAACTCCAAACCTAAACTCTAAACCCCTAAACCCTAAATCCCTAGAAAAGCCTAAGACCCAAGCAAGAGCCACACAGATATAAAACCCTTATCCCTTAACCCTACACCCGAAACCCGAAACCCGAAACCTTGAACCCTCAACCCTAAACCCTTATAGAAACCTAAGACCCAAACAAAA